ACACTCTTTTCTTGCTGATCTGAAGTATAGAGTTTGTGTGTGCAGGAAGAAATGGCTGAAGCAAAGTTAAAATCCATTTCTGAATTATTGACATTAATGGCAAATTTAGCCATTGCTGTAGCAGAGCATTTCAGTAAGTGCCGAGTCCTGTGGTCTCCAAAAATTCACAAGGGGATGAGGTTTCTGAGACCATTGTGCAACCCAGCCCTGCTTTATGGCACATCAGGTATTTGCCGGCTGTTCCTCGCTCCTGGCCTGCCACATAAAGGTTCTTCTGTTCTTGGCTAGAAATGTTTCCATTGTGCGTGCTTGCAATTGCCCAGGAGGCTTCCCTTAGCTCTCTGTTCCTGCCCTGCTTTCTGGCATGGTTTTAGTGAGCAAATATCACCTGGAAAAGCTGAATCCCTCTGCCTGCAGCCCACATCAGCCTCTGCTGGGCTTGGGGCCAGCAGAAGGTATGGCAAGGAGAGTGAATGGCCCCACGCTCTGTAATAGTCTCATTTGTGGGAATTACTGCTCCTGGATTGCCTGGGAGAAGGGGAAAAGAGAGGAGACAATGTGGATTAGATGAGGCAAGAGTGTGCTGCGACACTGTTCATTGAGAAGGTGCTTGAAAACAAAAGGGGTATGTCCAAAAGTGCTGGCTCTCCTTCCCAGAGTGTGCATGGCAAGTGGGACTGATTTCCTCCCAGAAACACGCGTGGAAGACCAGGAAAAAGAAGGGCAAGCTCAGGGCTGATGTAAAAACTGGATCTGAGGTGGGGACATGCCAGACAGCCTTTGCCTTGGAGTAGTCTCCGCTTGTCAAAGTATCTGCTGGCTGTGACGGAAGACGTTGCCTCCAATCTGTTGTTTTCTAATTGCCGTAGACATCGTTTTCTGGCAGCAGCCCTGATGAATGGATCTCTCCCCCTCACATTTCAGCTGGGAGGGAAAGCGGTGGAAATCTGTCTTTCCTCTCATTAGCACTGAACGTGTGGCAACTGATAAGCCTTGCAGGAGCTCAGGGTTAATCTTCCTGGAAAGGACCTCTTCCTTATCTACCCAGACCTTCTCTCTGGAGGTCCTCATGTGGAAATACCATGCTCACAAGCAGCTGGGCCCAGCCCCTTGTAGGGATTGTCTTATTGATCAGATGCTTAAGATGTGGCTTTACAATCTTTCCTTTTTTTTTTTTAATTAAAAAAGAGATGAAAAGGGTCTTTAAAATGTTGGCACTTATATTTTCATGTCAGAGTAACAGGAAGGCCGAGCAGATGAAACACAGGGGTAGAAAGCAGGAGGCAGAAGTGGACACATTGCTTTGCTGCATCTCCCTCTCGTGTGTGAGCAAAGAGAGCGCAGTGGCTCTCAAGGGTGTCGTGAGGACTGGGAAATGCTTGGAAAACCTCCAAGGTCTTTTCAAAAGAAGGTGTTGGGACAGTGCCAAGCACAGCGCTCTGTTCAGTGCTCAAGGTCCTGGGGGAAGAGCTGCTATGAGCCTTCCCCTTGCTGGGCAACTCAGACTCTGTGCTCAAGTGTCCTGCAGCTCCCAGCATGATTGCTTAGAAAATAAGCAAAAATCTGTATTTTCGGTGATGCTTAAAAAGTTCCTGGTCAAAAGCACTAGCGCTGCTGGTGTGTGCCTCTTCCAGCATTCAGGCAGAAGCCAGTCTTGGCTTAAGGTAAGGGCTCCTGCTCTAGGACTTACCTCTGTTCCTGACCAGTCCTGCTCAGCCACTCCCTTCGGAGGGTTCAAAATCTCGCAGCATCCCAAAGGGATGTCTTCTCTCAAGGGATATGGGAACTGCTTTCTCAGGATCCTTGTTTCTGGTTACCTGCCTCTGGCTCACCAGTTCTGCCTGTCAGGCAATACTGCATTGAGCTAAACCTTCCTGAACTCTTTGTAAACCATCTTATCTCTCCATCTTGTCCACCTACCTGCTGCCTTGCACAACAGCCCTATTTCCAGGCTGCTGAGATGTTGCGTTAATGCTTCTTGGTTCCATTTTAAGAAATCACAGTCCTGTTGTCAAATGTGGGAAGCAACCCACACTGGAAAGCCAAGCAAATTTGCACTTCTTCCTGCTGGGAAATGCACAGTTTGGCTGAGGTTTGAAGATAGTGCACATGAGATATCTTTGCACGATCATGTCAGTAACAGGTACTAAATTTTCTCCTGAGAAGTGGACTGATGCAGTTACCAGTAAGCTGAGGAGCTATGGAATGGTTGGCACAAGGAGCCCCTGCTGATGAAAGGAAGGAGGATGAGACAGGAGTTCATGAACTAGATCTCCATTTGGGGTTTTCTGCATGTCTGCTGCAACTCTGCCAGGGCTTTCTCTGTTGAATCTGAACGCACCCAGCACGTGGCTTTTGAGGTCAGCCTCATCGTGAAGCATGGCTGAGAGCAGGAAGTCTTGGCTTGAGTTTGAGTGGTGGCCCCAGGCAGTTTTTCATGGTCCCTCCTCCTTCTCCGAAGGGGAGCCAGGGCTGAGGCTGCTTCCCATGGGAGCCCCAGCCACGCTGCTCTCTCCCGGGCGTTGTGCAAGCGTCAGGGTGCGCAGCCAACGGCGTTCTCCAGATCCAGGCCGTGCCTCGCTCAGGTGCGTGGGTTGTGCTGGGGAGTCGTTATTGCCACAGTGATGATTTGGAGATAGTGCAAACCAAAGGCTTTCACCACCCAAGAAGGGAGGGCGAAGAAATTACTCACAGCAGGGTCCTTGAGGCAGCCTGGAGAAGCCTGTACCCATCCTCTCCTTGCCTCTAGATAAGAAGCTGTTTTTCTCCCATGCAACAAAGCTGTCTTCCCAGGAGCAATTCCAGGATGTCTGAGCCCCCAAATCACAGTGGGTTTTTTTTAATCTCGTGGCAAAATGCAGGAGAGCAAATGTGTCCACCAGTGTGTGTAACAGAACCGCCTGTTTCATCCCCTTTGCAGGACTGACTGAAGCATTAACTTTATTAGCACATTTAGATACGACTTGATAAAAATCGGCCGTCGATCCGCTTGGTTCTGTTTGCACCATTCCTCCAAATCTGTTCGCTCTGCAACATCATGTTTTCCTCTCTCGAGGGAGTCAGTCTGACAGCTGCCAAAGAACGGGGACAGCTTGTCTTCTTGGAAGGCCTCAAGTCCTGCCTTGACCTCTTGTTTGGAGAGGAGGAGAAGCAGTCAGGACAGTCCAGTCCTCTTCAGTTTATAAGGTAAACCTGAGCAGTTGATGGTTCTGCTGGGGCTCAGCAGGGCCCCCAGCACAGAGCATTTTCCCCTTCATGTCTTCTACCACTGCAGCCAACACCGAGAGCAGCAGTGAGGTCCACAGCTGAGACCTGGCTCCTTTTGGGCTTCCCTCCAAGGCCCGAGGACTCAGTAGCTGGGCACCTAAGTGAAGGGAAATGCTGGTGCTGTGCACATTGCTGTGCTTGTCCTGCCCTGTCTCTCCCTGCTGCTCAGATTCTGTCCCCCTTCTCCAGCATTTTGGGGCAATTTCTGCCCCTATCCTCATTGCCAAGCATGTTATAGGTCTAGAGAAAATTTATTTCAGCACTCAACAGGTTTGTGTCAAATAAAGCTCCATCCAAGCAGTTTTATTGCCTTTTTTTTATTATTATTCTGAGTTTTATTCTCATCCAAGAGAACAGTGCTGCTTTAACCATGCTGGCTTTCATTTTTATTCCCACTTCACTTTCTCCATGTCCCTGATGATTTGGTAGAAAAAAAATCCACTGAGGGCTGTTAAATTGGCAGATACCGCCTCTGGGCAAGGACTGCTGCGTACTTGCTCTGTTCCTGTATGCTCCCAGTTCTCCGCTGTTTCAGACGCATGCTGGGGTAGATGGGCCTTTGGTAAGACCTGGGGCAGGCACTGAAACCCCGCAGACCCCTGTGCCGTGGGACCATGCAGCCCTTCAGGTCTGGGTGAGTGGGTGTTGCTGAAGTGCGGCAGGATCAAGCACTGGACAAGCTCAAGAAGTGGGCTGATGTGAACCTCATGAGGTTCAACAAGGCCAAGTGCACTTTAAACTAAAAGAGGGCAGATATCAGACTAGACATAAGGAAGAAATTCTTGAATATGAGGGTGGTGAAACACCAGGACAGGTTGCCCAGAGAGGTGGTAGATGTCCCATCCCTGGAAACATTCAAGGCCAGGTTGGACAGGACTCTGAGCAACCTGATGTAGTTGAAGATGTCCCTGCTTGTGGCAGGGGGCGTGGACTAGTTGACCTTTAAAGGTCCTTTCCAACCTAAACCATGCTTTGATTCTATGATCCCTGGAGCCGGGCAGGAGGGTTTCACCGCACACAGTTGAGTAAAGGAGCAGTGACTGTCACAGCAGTGGGGACAGCAGGGAGGGTGCAGGCTGGTGTTCCCTGCATTGGGTCAGTGGGTGAGGAGGGGGATGCACAACATGCGTGTGGGCCAAGCCCCTTGAGACCTCTTTCTTCTCTTCCAGTGAGAGCGCTTCTGACCTCAAAGCCTTGTTTGACTTTGTCCGGACGTCCCTGACTCCCACTGGCAGCGACTCCTGGAAGGGCCCCGTGCTGCTGGTGGATGACCTCAGCGTCCTGCTCAGCCTGGGTGCCACACCAGTGGCGGTGCTGGACTTCATCCACTACTGCAGAGTCACGGTGTGCTACCAGCTGAAGGTACTGCTCCCTCCGTACACAGCATCCTGTACACTACATGTAGAGAAGAGCCTCTGGAGCAAAGCTTGGCTTTCTTTTCTTTTTTCACCTGTGCATGGTGAGGTTTGGAAGGCTTTGGCTATCCAAGAAATTTAAATCATTGCTCTAGGGCCACTCTCAGGGAGTTGTGTTAGTCCTTGGAGTACCTCTGTAGGGTCCTTTGCAACTGGTTTCCCAGGAGGAGGGTGCTCTCTGTTCCTGAAGTGAGAGCAGGGATTCAAGGTCTAAAATATTGTTTCTTACAGCTCCTGGCTCTCCAGAGATCTCTACTCACACCCGTGTTTGTGTGCGTGTGGGAGAGCAGCGAAGGAAATGGGTTACGAAGGTAGTGAGGGGCTGATGAGTCTTGCAGGGGGCAGAGATGAAGGCCCACTTGGAGGGGATGCAAGTCTCTGCTTCCGCCGATCTTCAGTGTTGCTGTGTGTTGTACCAGCTTGTTTCTAAGGGCACGTGACAATGCAGCAATTCTACAAAGATCTCCCCAGCGATGTGTTAACTTCTGAGAGCATTGCAGCCAAAAATCATTACACTCACATCCATCCTTTGCTATTTACATTGCAGCGTCCCCCACCCTGGCCACTTCTTTCTCTGCTTGAGTGTGAAATAAAGTAGATGGTGTCAGGTTTTGTTAGCCTGCACTTCGTATGGTGCCAGGGTCTTTGTGCTGTAAATGCTGACGAGGGATGTTCTGCTTGCTGAGAATATTTACCTCCAAAACAGCTAAAAAAGATGATAATGCTAACCCATTTCTATTTCTGTCTAAGATGTTCCAAAGCTTTAAAGTATGTTTTGATTGATTGGGAATTTCATGTTATTTTAAGTCCTTGGTGACCTGCATGGGCTGAGGCAGAGACTCTTGGGATGTATTTTTAACAGATTTGGTGTTGCATTGGGGAGCTCTTTGCTTCTTGTGAGAGCTGTGAAGGTTCAAGCATCACAGCTCTGGCTGCGGCCGTTTGGCCGTGTCTTTATTTAGCTGTTCTGAATTCATTCAGAGTTGCCATTTGCATGGCCTGACAGACTGGTTTAACTAGACAGCTGTCTCATAACCAGGGCTTGATGTATTTTTAGGCTGCATATTTTTAATATATATGTGTGTATATGTAAATACAGTATATATACAGCAAACTGTTTCAGAGTTTTATATATGTATCTGCTGTTTATTTTCCCAGCGGACTTTAGCTCAGACCCAGCTGCCGTGCTGGGGGATGCCTAAGTAGCTTAGTTAGCAGGGCATTTGTGCAAGCTCCCGTTGCTATCTCCCCTTCCTTACCCTGAGCGGATTAGGAGTCAGCCAGGGGCTCATCGCTGCCTGGTGCTCTCCTTCCAGGGAAACATCGTGGTGCTGGTTCACAGCAACGAGGATTCAGAAGACGAGGAAAACGAACTGATTGTGAACTCCCTGTGTCATCACAGTGACCTGATCCTGTGGGTAGAGGGGCTGGCGACCGGCTTCTGCAAGGATGTTCATGGGCAGGTAATGCACAGGAGAGCACGGAGAGGGGGCACACGTTGATGTCACACACAACGCTGCCTGCAGGCCCAAGGGTGGGTGAGACATGCTGCATCTGCCCCATGGGAGATGGCCCAGGACTAGCCTGGTCTGAAGCATGGTTAAGGACTAACGAGCAGCCTTGCTGCAGTCACCAGGATCTGCAGGAGCACCTGGGCTCTTACAGCCGTGACTCCACTTCCATGGGGATATTCAGGGATATCCTGCCACCAGGGGACTCCCCCATCCCTGGAAGCTCGAAGGCGTTTGTACAGCAGCTGTGGTACAGGTTGTCTCCTGCCCCAAGAAGATGGCGAAGAAAAATATCTATTTCCTGGGAAGCTTCCCCAAACTATCCTGTTGGTGAATCTCAGCCTGGCTTGTAGTGATCTCTTCTGGGCTGGGAGGGCAGCTGGGTCGCTGGGGCCTGGTCACTGCGTGGTCCCTTGTCAGGGGCTGCCACCAAGGGGGCTGGTTACAGGCAGCTGTGTGGTTTTCCTATCAGTCATCCACCTTCCCTGCAGGCCAGCAAGAGGTGTGTGGGGGTGAGGATGCTGTGTCTGGGGCAGCCAAAGGGATGATATTCCTGTTCCTTTCCTTTTGCAGATTAAAATAATTAGGAGAGTGTCCTTGGAGCTGACAGCGGAGCAGGATCTCGTCCAGATCTACCAGTATAAGATCCAGGACAAGAATGTCACCTTTTTTGCTAGAGGGCTGTCAGCTGCAGTCCTGTGATGCTGCGATACCACGCAGCGCTGTGAGCAAAGCCGGGGCGGCTGGTACCTCTAGACTGGACGTGCCACCAAACCAGCCTGGCTGCTTCACCAGCGCCTTCCAGGAGCCCTGCAGCAAACTAACCCAGGAGGGAAGCTTAAACACGTGTTGGACTGCATGCCAACGAGGGGATTAGCCTGCCCAGAGCTTGCTGCATCCCTTTGTCCTCCCACCCTGTTCCCAACACATGCAGGCCAAGAAGAAGTGCAAAAACTTGCAAGAATGGCCCTTAGAGCGTGTAAATACAAGCAGGGAGGATGCCCGGCGGCCTGGGTGTGCCTCACCCTTTCTAGTGTGTTAGGGCAGGGCAGTGCCAGGCACTGCTGTGTGGAGGGATCACCCCACCCACCCGCTGGCATTTAATGAGATGACACAGAGCGGGTGGAGGCAGGGACGATCCGGGAGCCTGTTGCAATTCTTACCTTTCTCCCAGCTCTAGCACAGGAGAGATTTGCTCAACTCCCAACTTCCGCAGAATTAAAAAAAAAAAAAAATCTATAGCTATATGTATAGCCCCTCACCTTGCTGCAGTGAGACCTAGAGGCTGCCTTGCTTGGTTGATGGCTTGCTTTGTTTTTTTACTTTCCCTCTTTTCACGTGAAACCCCTGTGTCTGTGTGTGTCTGTTTAGCGTGTGGCTTCCCAAGCTTGTCCTTGGCTTTGGATGATGAACAGACACTTGTACGTGAGCCTCTGTCTCAGCCACTGCTTCCGGACCACAAATCATTACTAGCATTTATATGACCTGCCTGTATTGAAGGATTATTGGGGGCTAATAATCACTAATTTTAATTAGGTAAGGGTACAGTCATTAAGTAACCGTGAATCTCTGTATGGGAACCGCTCCCCACAGGCTCCTTGGCAGGGGAGAGAAGTGGGCATCTCCTGGGCTGGGGTGAGGAGATGACTTTGGGTCCCCCTCCCTCCCCACAGATGCAAGTGCAGTCCCGGGAGCAGAGCTCAGACCTGGAGGTCTCCTGGTAGCTGGTCTGGCTGTAGTGGGAGATAAAGGACATCCCGCACGCTTGTGAGAGACAAGAGTGACCTGCCATGTCCTTTCCTTGCAGCTCTAGAGCTGGGGTAACAACTCTGTGAGACATATTTCTGCTTTTTCCATGCAGAAATGCTGCACACCCCAGTGACCCGTCCTGCTGTGGGTGTTGGGAACAGTCCCCTTTGGCTTGAGTTTGGGGAGTCCTGGCATGCTTGGAAGCTGTGGCTGCTTATTGATAGCAGCCCAGGGAGACTGGGCAGGCTCTGGGGATTGTGGCGAGTGCCAAGGAATGCAGGAGGGCGAACAAGGCCTCGCGCGTGCTTTAGGATCACTTGACCCTACTATATGGGAACGTAACCTATGGGTCTCTCTGTGCTGCCAAGGAGAGCTCCAAGTCGTGTCTCCAGCCCAGCCTCGCTCAGCAACCTCCCAACTTCCAGGGTCAGGCAGTGCCTCCTGGGCCTGACCCAAGCCCCAGAGCGTCACAGCCCCAAATTATCTTTGGTGGGTGAGCCCCGAGCTGCCGGTGTGTGTGGCCCAGGCAGGCAGCCAGATCCTGAGTGTGGTGTGCCGGCGGGGCTTGGGGTGCCCAGCCTGGCAGCCGTGGGGCTAGGAAGCAGCCAGGTCCAGAGCTTACTGTGCCCAAACCCCTGTCCAACCTCCGTGTGGAGGCAGAGCCAGTGACACCACTATGGTTTGGGGTCCCAAGTGCCCCCGAGCTGTGCACAGAGTCCCAGGCTCCTTGGGAAGGTTCCTGGTAGCTGATGGTGCCGTGGTACCGCTGCTGGTGGGTGCAAAGCACCGTACCCTGTCCTGGCAGAGACAGGCTGGTGACTCCGTCTCCTCCCACATCACACAAACCCTCGGGATGGTTCCTGCTGTGCCCTGGTGGGGTAAAGAAAGTGTTTTTCGGCCATCAGCCGTGCAAGCGGCAGAGCTCAGCACCGCTGCTACTGCCGGCCCAGCGTGGTGGCAGTGCCCAGGGGCTGATGCGCGGTCACAATCTGCAAAGGGAGGACGAGATGACTGGTAGGTCTTGGGGAAGGGAGCTGCTGGCACCGTCGCTGCAGGCACTATGGCTGCTTAAAATGCACCTGTAGTAGGCGTATAATGGTGTGTAATTGAAGTAACGCCTGGATGATTAGCTATCCCTTGGAGAGATCCCAAAACATCCCTGCTCCAAGGCTCTGCCTCCCTCCTCTGAAACCAGCAGGGTGACCGTGTGGCATTGCTGCTGGCTTTTGCCCGGTTTCTTTCTGTGCTCGACTGATGCCTCCATCCAAGCAAGAAACCAGAGGCTGTCCGGGGCTCAGAGTTGGGATGGGCACCACTCGGGGAGCAGCACCCTGACCCCTGGTGTCCCCATGCAGGGGGATGTTTCTCCAGGATCCAAGGCCCTTCCAAACGAGCCGCTCTTTGCACTGTGCACCGGTGAGGGCTTGGACAGGCACCATCTGGGAGATGCCTCCTGGAGAAGGGGAGGTGAAACCTGTGGTGGTTCCTGGTTGACAGCAAGGATCAAGCCCAACGTTTCCTCCATCCCTGCTCAATGTCCAGAGGTGGCATCTGCCATCAGGACATGATTGCTGGAGGCCAATCTGTCAGCTCTGCTGAGCCAAGGCCACCCAGCATGGCCACGGCTGAACCAAGACCTTGCTCTGGAGCTGATGCTGCGGAAGGCAGCGCAGAAAGCAGAGACGAGGAGGGACACTACTGATGGCAGAACGGGGTGACCTTGCGCAGGGTCAGGCAACATCTGCGTGCTCGGGGCCGCTGCTACGTGCAGCGCTCTGTTTGAGAGCCAGAGCTTGTGTAACAACGCTGCATCTCGACTGATAAGGCAGGTGGGACTTGGCCCGAGGTCTCTGGTCTTCATTCCCTTGGCCTTGGTGGGAACAGCCTGGGTCCTTGGCCAGGCAGCAACTGGGGAAAGGCCCGTCAAGGCTGGGACTGGTGGGGCAGGGGTGCAGGTCCCCTGGGAGAGGGTTGGATGCAATGGTTTGGGGAAGGGCTGCCAGCAGTGGGGACTGTCAGAAAGCGTCAGAGCCTGATGGCTGCAAGAAAGGCCCTGGAAAAGTCTGGTGCGTGGGGGGTGCTCAGCCCCAGGAGACGAACGAGCAGGGGCTGCCTTTACCCTGTCCTATTTCTGCTCCTTTCCTTTGTTCCTTCCCTGCTTCTTGCTCTGGTTTTCCACCAAGACTTGTCTTCTCAGGGCTGGTTCCCCTTCTGACACCTCCTCTTTCCTCAGAGGGCTACCCTGGGATTTCAGGAGTGATGCTTGGCAGCCGGGAGCTGTGCCAGGGGTGACTGCCAGGCCAGCAGTACCAATGTGGGGCTGGCTGGCTGTGGGGCAGTGGTGGCTTGGCTGCCTTCCACCGTTCCCCTCTGTCCCTGCCGGCACCGGAGCTGCCGCATCCTTTCCTGCCGACCTCGGCCTTTTCCCCCATGGCTTCCTCCGCACTGGGGGAAAAGACGCTAACGACTTTTCTCTGGTGCCACAGGGTAAGCCCTGACCCTGCGGGCGCCCTGTGCCCAGGCTATGGGGCATCCCACCCCATGCCAAGGCCGTGTTGGCAGGAACAGCATGGGCATTTCTGGGGGGGGGGAAAGGAAAAGATCCCTTGGCCTGTGGGTACCACCTGCTCCTTCCAGGGGAGCAGCCCTCCCGACCCAGCCCAAGCCATGTGCCACTGTCCCCTCTGTGCCCAGGGCTCCCGGTGTCCGGCCCGCTCCGGTCCCCCGCAGCTCCGGCCAGCCGAGTCCCCTCTATCCCCTGCACCGAGCTGCCGGTGGAAGGTCCACTGTCGTCCCCCCCACCCCTGACGCTGCCCCAGGGTTCCTGGTGCCCAATCCTCCCCCGCGTCTACCCTGTGCCGCAGAATTCCCA